CCTTCATATTCCTGGAAACATAAAACTTTGATGATGTTTTGGAAGCTGTCTTTAATATCTTGCATGTGAAGGTTTGCGTGATGAGCATGTTAATGAACATGAGTCATACATTTCAAAAGAGAAAAGCAGAAAAACACTTTGTCAGTGGATCAATTGGAGACAACTGGACTTGTTTAAATGAATTCTGAATAAATGAACTATAGACTTGAGACTTGTATACAGTGTTTTGAAAGTTATTTCCATTAGCTGATTGTGAAAATGATTTAAACAGAGAAAATGGACACGGCCTGCAGAGCCACATTTCTCAACTACTTATTAATACTCACACATTCAGACTCTATGGTAAATTAGAAAGTAAAGGATAAGACTTTCTCACTGCACAACAAGCTATCAAATCCTATCAGAGCAGAGGTGTCCTTCTCTACCTGATCTCCTTGCACTTATTCAGTAGATTTAGTACTTAATACTTACACCAAGGTCTCCTACTGCACTGAAGGTCTAGTGTTGTTCCTCACTTGTAAGTCGCTTTGGATAAAAGCATCTCCCACATGAGTAAATGTAAATGTAAAATCATAAACCATGAGGCCTGCAGTTATAAATGTTAAAAAGTCATGAATACAGGTTTGTCCCCACTTCAATAACACATCATCTGTGCACTGCACATTTGTAAGTGCTCTGCAGCATTTATCCATGAGGTGCAGTCATGGAACAACTTGATGGGTTTCGGATGAATTAAGGAGACAGATGAAGTTATATTGGAGGAGTGGTCATCGTTGTCAAGCCTTAATAAATGAATTATTAAACATTTATTAGACTATTACTGGCCTCACTTTGGCTACATAACTCTGAGAGCTGAGCCACAGGTCTCCTCAGGTCTCTGTTCATGTGAGTCTGTCTCAGATCTGTGTCAGTTTGCTTGGATTCTGCCCAGCAACCGACTAATTGAACTCACAATTTGATGGTGTAACACGTGTCGGTTGCGTCTCTCTCTTTCCCTCTCTCCCTCTCTCCCTGGTTATGAGCAGTTGCCATGGACAACAGGTAATGCTGTCTCCCGTGGCAGAGGTGTATGCATGAATGCATGTGCACGAGTGTATAAAGGAAATATACGAGGGCTTGGAGCCTGTGTAAACTGTGAAAGAGCTGCCACGCGGCTCGCTGAAATGCCTCTCATTGTGACAGCAGCTCTGTCTAAACAGCAATTATGGTCAGAGGCCGAGCACTGCCACCTGCATCCCTTGAGATCTTTAACAGACCCCCAATGGTACTGACAGTAAATTAGGTGAAGCTATGTCTACCCTGACAGTGAGATGCTGTAGGTCACTAACTGAAGGTCTTTCCAGGCAGCTAGACAGGCTTCCCTTCCAAGTCTATTTAAAGTCAAGCAGAGCAACTGAAGTCATGGCCCGCTGTTTAGAAACAGTGATTTCATTGGAACTTAAATACGAGAGATTAAAAACATGGAGGAGTGTCTTTGTGTGAATCTGTGGTAGAAATGTGTCTGACATCAGTGGTGTGGCAGTAAAACACGAATTACTGGTCAGTAATCACCATGCAGAGAACATCCATCAGTATAAAAAAAAATCAACTAGTTTTCACAAATGTGGTAACAATTAATTTTTTTGTTGGATATTTTGTATTACATCATGGTAACTTTATCTACAAAGACCTACAGCAAACAATTTACTCAGAAAGATCTGTGTCAGTCTACAAAGCTGCTCAAACACAAATAAAAACAGTGTAGCTGTGTTTACGCTACATCTTCATGTCCATCATTACAAATCACACAACAATTCATGTCTCCTTGCTGTGGGTTGTTCATCATTGTGTGTTTAAAGGAGGCCTTTGAGCCCCTGAGTGATGTGACTAAGTGTCTGTGCAGCCTTGTTAACTCTTTGCTTCTGCTTTACTGGGCAGGAGGGGGCTGCAGCGGGGGTCTCACTGGGATCCTGGAGTGCGTCAGATTGTCTGCGAGCCTGTGTTTGGATAAGGCAGCATGCCCATTGTCTCTGATGCCCCAGCTGGGCCGAGGTATGCCTCCATGCTCCTGAAATAGAAGGACAGCTGAGGGCTGCCATGCATACTGAGGGCAGGGCTGGCCGGGCAGGCCGGGCCCACTGACCCAGACCACAACTTAGCACAATGAGAGACAGGGCATTGTCTGGAGCCAGAGGCTAATAGCTGAGGTATCAAACCCCCCGAAAGGCTCGCTAAAAGACTGATTAAGTCTCCTGCATGTTATTGTTGCCTGTGTATGGGTGGATGACAGGGGGGTGGAGTGGGTGTGGAAGAGTAATTGAGGCTTTGGACTGTGTTTGTGCCACGCGTCAGCCCGTCTCCACTCTGATGAACCGATGGCTAAGACCTGAGCCCACACAGTTGCTGCAAGGTATTGTGGGCAGGCACAAGGCGATTACAGAAATATCCACCAGCGATGAATGCTTTGATCCAAAATGAAACGCTGCTTCAACGCCCATTTTTAGGTCACTGCTATAGAGCGAGATACTTACCTTAATATTCGCTCTGTCAAGCAAGCAAATGTTATTTATGCAGCAGCTCTCAAAAACAGCAGAAAACCGCCTGCAGAAGGAAAGGAGGGAATAAAAGAGACCAACGAGACAATATACAAAAACAAAATGCAAATTTTTAAAAGATTTTATGATATTTTTTATATAAAAGGATATTAAAAGATGCACAGATTTGGCTTCTCTGAGAGTTTGGATTGATAGAATACATATATTTATATATACAGTACATAGAGTGAGAGAATATTTTGTACCCCTCTTTTGACTCCATTGTTTCTGATGAACAGTCCCACCTGTGCACAGACCGAACATGGATTGGGATGTGTCTGCGTTGTGTGCGATTAAACACGGCTGAGAGAGACTGCAGTCATAATTCCCAATCTCTGTCCATCTCGCTGCCTAAGCCTGCTGGCATTTGGTGCATGATGATCTAAAACAACTGTGACCGACCCCCAGATCAAGTCTTGATGCCCAATATGTCGGCTCCTCACTAGCACATCACCAAACAGTCAGTTGGCCAATCCCCAAGGATGAACTGAGGACTCAGTACCAACATTTCGGGGCTGAGGCCTACAGCTGGACATCAGTTTGATCCTGTTATATAGGAAGGTAATTCAAAGCTGCACAAATGTCCAATAATCAAAACATGAGCATTAATGAGGCTGGCCACATTAGGGTCTAAATGATTTTGAGGAACACTGGGGACGTAAGGAGAGCTGTTGCTGTGGGAAGTCAGCTGTTGCAGTGGGCTGCAGTATAGCAGTGCAGAGAGATGTGCTGGGGGACGACTCCAGCACCGCATGCACTTCACTATGTGTTTGTGTGTGTGTGTTTACGTGCCGGGGTATGTGAACTTATTTAAAGCCAGCGGCTCTGGGGACTTTGGGATTCATCTCCTCCTCATGTGTTATCAGCATGCCAGCTTTTCAAATGGTGCACCGAGTGACATAGTACATAAACCAGCCTCTGCCTCTGAAGAACCCCTTATCCCAGAATAGCTCAGGCCCGCTCTATCTAACTGATGCCCAAGAAAGTTTCAGCCATCACGGAAACACCTCTCAGTCTGCCACAGGAACAGATAGCAGTGTCAACAAAAATGGCGGCCCCATCTTTTCTTGTTTCTCTGTGTGTGAGTGTGGAGAGACAAGAGAGTAAACTCTTATAATAAAACAGGTAGGCCTACCACCTCTTTGTTTGTAAAGGTTACGGCGTCTTCGTTGGCTGTCGATGGTCATCTTCACTTTATCTACGTGGCGTTTGCAGAATTGGGCGCAGCCAAGAGTTAACAGTCAATCTCCGTATCAGGAATGCTGGACTCTGGCTTTGTCTATTCTGAGAAACTCTGGTCCCCTTTCCCTCCCCCCGTGCTGCACTGTCACCCTGCTCTCATACCAGGCACCAACCTCTCCCCTTGCTCTGAAGGTCAGATCTGGTGGAGCCAGAGTGGGAGAGGCATAGCGCCTATGCCAGAATTACTGGATACACAAAATTACAACAGCTACGTGTGACAACATAACACAGTGTGCTGTCAGTGGACAGTTACCAGGATACTTAACATTTTCATCTGAGGCCCAAGGTGTTAAAGCTCTAGATGTTTCTGGCTATGACTACAAAGAAACAACATAAGAAGAAACTAAAAGTACATTTTGAATATTTCATCACAGCTTTAGTCTGATCCGTCACTTATGTGAATTTGTTTTAAATTCATATATGAGGCACTTTATTTTTCTGGTAGGAGCCACACGCCATGTTTCTCGCTATTAATATGATGTTGTGTATTTATAGTAGCATGTTTAATGCCACACAGCTCCTGAAATAATCTCTTCTAAGGTTGCATCCTCTGTGGCCACACACAATAGCAAACATCCCTGTTGGCACTTAACAACACAAAAGCTGCAGGGTTATTACTTAGAGGCCAACATGAGTTCATGAGCATCAAAGTCACCTAAAGTGGAGTGACTTCATTAGTGTTTATCAGGAGGTTGAGGGTGGATAAACACAATAACCCACTTCTAGATATGTACTGAAGAGCACTGGCTCTAACTTTTTTTTTTTCTTTTATCATGCATATCATTTCACGGTTTCCCTGTGAAAAATCAAAAAAATGTCCAGGTTTTGTTGCCAGGTGTTGACACAAATCATTGTTCTGGTAGAGGCAATGATGCACTGCCCTTCAAAATCTATGGAGTGAAAAAATTCCCCCCTACGGGGATGCTCCTAATGCAACACTCTCCCACTCCCTCGCAGTGTGTACAGTGCATAAAATAACTGGGATACAAAAATAGCCGGCTTGGGTTTAGCGCAATGACAAAAACGTAGCTTTCCTTTTGTGTCAATTGAGACAGGCGCTCAGCACCAATAGGCGTCGGAGGAGGTGGCATATGCTAATGAGGGACAAATGTCCACTGACCGTGACCTTGAGGAGCACAGTATAAAGCAGGGCACATCTCACCAAGCTGTTATTTCGTTGTGGTCGTCCTGAGGTCAGTGGACAACTTTTAGCCTTGGTTTGGTAGGTCGATCATCACGCATTTTACGCGCGGGTTGGTTCCCCTTTAAAACGTCTTATTGAGTCTTAATTTCACTCTCACCACCGTAGTTCACCTTCGCTGGCACGTGTAGACTTTTTGTTCTCATTTGGTGATAGTGGATTTGCGCTCTTTACGCACGAGAAGTGTTTTCACGGCCACGCATTGTTTTCATCAGTAACGGAGGGCTGAAGTAACAAAAACAACTTTAACAACAAAGTAACAACTACTGACTAACACAAAGCTTTGTTTTCTTACCAAAGGAATTCCACAACTCGACTGTGTCACTGGTGCGTCCGGGTTTTGGGGCCGGAGAGGAGTTGCCACCATGTCTCGCTTTGACACGAAGGAGTTCGGGGAGGCTGCACCGTTTTTACGCAAATCTGAGCTGGAGCTGCTGGCGGCGCACACCGTCGCTTTTGACGGTAGGCCTAATAAGGACACCTCAAAGAAACGGAACCTTATAGGGTACATTACATTAAAAAGATTTATATCATAATTAAATATAGTTTTGGATGGAATATTAAAATTTGTATCAGTCGTTAAATGAGGTAAAAAAACAGCTGGTGATATCAGATAATGATTCGTCATTACAGCTTCATTTTGTCGCACTGTTTTGAAGAGAGAATGAACAGTGTTGAAACTGCATAATGTGTGTAAATAATATCAGTTTATTCAAGATAATTGCTCTGGAGCTGTTGGATTGATTTCTGTTGTTTTTTGAAACTAAAATGTCACAATTTTCTAATATTTCATTGTAAAATTGTGATTAAAAACTAGTATAAAATATTATTATTATTATTACAATCAGAAACAATAAGAGAAATCAACTTTTTTTTTTTAGCACATGAGCTTATTTGTGTAATACTTTGACTTTGTGATGATTTCATTAATCTGTTGGATTTTGGTGAGTTTTGGTGATGGCTCAATTTTCCAAAACCCTCCTACTAAATGCTCCTCGCCCCTCTGCTGTGCTGTCAGGTAAGAAGCGAGCCTGGATCCCTGATGAAAAAGAGGCGTACATTGAGATTGAGATCAAGGAGCTCAGAGGTGACAAAGTCATTGTTGATACCAAAGATGGGAGGGTAAGTCATCATTCATCCACCAACATATTTTCTTTGATTACTGTTGTCATTGTCAGTAATGAATGAAAACCTGAAGTACAGACACTTGGACATCTACAGTATGTCTGCCTGTTTGTTTTCTCTAGACTCTGACAGTGAAGGACGGTGACATCCAGCAGATGAATCCTCCTAAGTATGACATGATCGAAGACATGGCCATGCTGACGCACCTCAACGAGGCCTCTGTGCTGTTCAACCTGCGCAGACGCTACTCTGCCTGGATGATCTATGTGAGTATCCCACTGATGGTGCTTCCCCTCTCCCATGTTTCCATGTTGTCCAAAGGGCAAAACTACCCAGATTAAATTACAGAGTTAAACTGTGAACTTGAGCAATGTCAACCTGTCCGTGCCAAGATTGATCATTTTGGTTTAATGTGATGTAACAAGGTGAGTTAATCTTGCATCATGTCCTCTGGTCTCCTCAGACCTACTCCGGGCTCTTCTGTGTGACAGTGAATCCATACAAATGGCTGCCTGTCTACACAGCCCCTGTGGTCGCTGTCTACAAAGGCAAACGCCGCTCTGAGGTGCCGCCGCACATCTATTCCATAGCAGACAATGCCTACAATGACATGCTGCGCAGTGAGTGTTTTCATACACTATGAAATAAAATATTATGTTATAAAAGATTACAACAAGCATATAAACACTGATACATAATCTAAACACATATACTTATTTTCTCCTCATCAGATCGGGAGAACCAGTCCATGCTCATCACGTAAGTATCAACTGCTTGAAACTCGTATTTTTTGTCTTGTTTCAAGTCACAAACTAGAAAAGAAGCAGACAGTCAGTAACTGTACGAGCTGCCATATAACATGTAGACTCTCCACATACAGCCAGATTTTTTTCATTAAAGTTTTTGACTTTGGCTGAAATCTATTCCTCACTTTTTTCTCTTTTTCTCTGTTTTGTAACCTGTAGTGATTTTGACTGACACCACCTTTACCAGTTTTGTGAACCGTTTTTTTCTGTACCTGTTTGTATGTACACTTTGTTATTTTTCACACTCCTATAGCGGAGAATCCGGTGCTGGCAAAACTGTCAACACGAAACGTGTCATTCAGTATTTTGCCATTGTGGCAGCTCTTGGGGAAACAACTGCCAAAAAAGGAGTAAGGCTGATGTGGCAACCCATATTTTTGTTTTCCACCATCCTTTTTAAAACTTTTTTTGCTATATTTTATTTCTATTTTCTTCATTTTTCTGGTCCCAGGAATCCTTCAGTGTATTCCCTTTAAACTGTGTCCATACATTTTCCTCACTGTCAAAGTGGTGAATGTGAGAACTGATTACATTCATGTCTAAGTCTTTACCCTCATGTGTTGTGTTGCCATTTCCAGCCACTCTGCTATGCTTCCTCATTGATTTTTGAATTATTTTTCTTTTCCCCCTTCCATGTCATTTCTTTTTTGTTTGGCTCAAAAAATTTTTTCCATTATCTTCCCCCTTGCTTTGATTTTTGGTTTTTGACTTTTCTATGTTGTTTGACGCTCATTTTTCCTCCCTTTTTCTCCCCTGCGTTCACCACACTTCATCATATAAAACAAGGTGGCCATTGGGTTTTTTTTTTACCACAGCTTTAACAACCAGTTTCTAATTTTCCAGTCGGTCATAGTGTTTCCCCTTTGGTTTTGAAAGCATTATTTGATCACACTTGACATGATGTCACACTCACAGGCTTCTAACCTTCTTCTTTTGCAGCAAGGTCCTGCCACTAAAACAGGGGTGAGTTTTAGCTTTAAGCTAAATAAATGCAGCTGCATTGTGTTTAACAGCAATTTCAAATAAACTGTGAATTGTAAAAAAAAAAAAAAATAGTGTGACTTGGCATCTTTACATTTGACTTACTTTTCTCTTCTAGGGGACTCTGGAGGATCAGATCATCGAGGCGAACCCGGCCATGGAGGCGTTTGGTAACGCCAAAACGTTAAGGAACGACAACTCATCCCGTTTTGTGAGTACCTGGAAACTTCCAGTGTATTGTATGTACATTTAATATTCTAAATATGATGTTTTTGGGGGGTTTTTTTGTATCTCATAAATATTTCACTTAATTTCCTGCAGGGAAAGTTCATTAGGATCCATTTTGGACCAACTGGCAAACTGGCCTCAGCTGATATTGATATATGTGAGTCGATGGTCCTTTAACACCGTGCATTTCTCATTTCGTTTCATGTCTGATATGAACATGTGGACATGTTGCACCTCTCCCTGTCCTACAGATCTTCTGGAAAAATCCAGGGTGATATTTCAGCAGCCCGGTGAGAGGAGCTACCACATCTACTACCAGATCATGTCGCAGAAGAAACCAGAACTGTTAGGTCAGTCACCGCGGCTGCTTGAGATGTTTTAATCTGCACTACTGCAGGACTGTGACATGACCCTGAGTTTTCTTTGTTTCAGACATGCTGCTGGTGTCCTCCAACCCATATGACTTCCACTTCTGCTCGCAGGGCGTCACCACTGTGGAGAACCTGGATGACGGACAGGAGCTGATGGCCACTGATGTGAGAACTTTTATCTTTTCCATACGGAGAGAAATTCTGCTGCATGTGAGAGCAGGACACTGGGTGGATCCAGTTGTAAGAAAACTTCTTCTTTCCCTCTCTGCAGCACGCCATGGACATCCTCGGCTTCCTGCCCGATGAGAAGTATGGCTGCTATAAAATAGTTGGAGCCATCATGCAATTTGGCAACATGAAATTCAAGCAAAAGCAGCGTGAGGAGCAGGCGGAGGCCGACGGCACTGAAAGTAAGAACCAGTGACGTGATATCTGCCGCAAAAACAACTACACAGTTAAAAGCAAGTTTGTGATTCTTTTTTTTTTTTTGCCTTGTTTGGTGACCAGGTGCAGACAAGGCCTCGTACCTGATGGGAGTCAGTTCAGCTGACCTCATCAAGGGCCTCCTCCACCCAAGGGTGAAGGTGGGGAACGAGTATGTGGTGAAGGGACAGAACGTAGAACAGGTGAGGAGACGTGACGTCTGATGTCTGCGTTTCTGTTTCGTTATTTCAGGTTTTGGTAATGTGACATATTGTGTTCTTCATCAGAAACACAGACGATATAACTGAACAACAAATCAATCAATATGTCACAAAGATAAAAGCACAAGTGTAGCATGAAAGCTGCTGCACAGGTTCAGCTTCGCCTCAGTCTGCTTGACGACTAGTATGCTGATGAGGGACAGCTTCTTAATCCTCGGTCGATCAATACACTCGCCACTCCACGCACACTAGAATCTGGTTTCTAAGCAACAGGGGCAATCCATGTGAATGACAGCTGTTCTCCTCCTGTGTGTGTGTGTGTGTGTGTGTGTGTGTGTGTGTGTGTGTGTGTGTGTGTGTATTTGTGCATGGGTGGTGAAGGTGAACTACGCCGTCGGTGCTCTGGCCAAAGCCACGTATGACCGCATGTTCAAATGGCTTGTGGGACGCATCAACCGGACCCTGTACACCTCCCTGCCTCGCCAGTACTTCATAGGAGTCCTGGACATCGCCGGATTTGAGATCTTTGATGTAAGTTGATCTATAATACAAATATTTTTCATGTTAATACAGATATTAAAGTTGTCTTTATTAAAAAAAAGATCAGACTGGTTTTCTGGTTTTGGTTTAAAAACAACAGGTTCTCTGTTTGTGTCTCACCCGCTCTCTCTCTCTCTCTTTCTCTCTCTCTCTCTCTCCTTCTCTCTCTCTCTCTCTCTCTCTCTCTCTCTCTCTCTCTCTCTCTCTCTCTCTCTCTCTCTCTCTCTCTCTCTCTCTCTCTCTCTCTCTCTCTCGCTCTCTCTCGCGGTGGTGAATTAGCTCCAAAATGAATCTCATGTTTTTCATGCTGTTCACTTCTAATGCTTCCTCTGAACTCCTGTTGCTCTTTTATTGCAGCTCAATAGCTTCGAGCAGCTGTGCATCAACTTCACAAACGAGAAACTGCAACAGTTTTTCAACCACCACATGTTCATCCTGGAGCAGGAGGAGTACAAGCGCGAGGGCATCGAGTGGACCTTCATTGACTTTGGGTTGGACCTTCAAGCTTGCATTGATCTCATTGAAAAGGTAAACAAAGTCTTGTGTTCATAACAGGCAAAGTTTAATCACAGAGAAGTATTAGATTAACACGCTGCTCTTCCTCCAGCCACTGGGCATCATGTCCATCCTTGAAGAGGAGTGCATGTTCCCAAAGGCCACAGACAGCAGCTTTAAAGCCAAGATGTATGATAATCACATTGGCAAGTCGCCTAATTTCCAAAAGCCGCGGCCAGACAAGAAACGCAAGTACGAGGCCCATTTTGAGCTGGTGCACTACGCTGGAGTGGTGAGTGTGTTCCTCATTAAAGCACTGAGACAGGTCACAACATTAATTGTTACACAGTTCAATAATTTGTGTGTACCTGCTGTGTTTCACAGGTGCCATATAACATCATTGGCTGGCTGGACAAAAACAAAGACCCACTAAATGAGACGGTGGTTGCATGTTTCCAGAAGTCTGCCAACAAGCTGCTAGCTTCTCTGTACGAGAACTACATCGGCTCAGACTCAGGTAGAGTAAACAGGATTCTGACCGCAGCATGTAGTCCTCCTTAAGATGGTCAAATTAATCACCCTGCTAATTACCTTTCAGCGTCTGACCCAAAGCCTGGCAGCAAAGAGAAGAGGAAGAAGGCAGCCTCTTTCCAGACGGTGTCTCAGCTTCACAAGGTGAGCCTGACAACACAGTGTAAAATGGCCCATTGCTGATGAATGTAGACAATATGAGAAGTTGTTGGCATCTCTGGACAGCTGGGAAGGAGGCAGTTAAGACTTGCAGTGATGTTTAGGGCAATGATCACATGAACATCACTTTAAGTCTGTGCTGGCTCCTCTCTCCTTCACATCAAGGGTTTCACATGAGGAACACAAAGAGTTTTACATGAAGGTTCTGTTGCTATTTATTGCAATAAGTTGAGGTTTTAATAGTAGAATAGTCACTTCATTTTTTATTGACTCATTGAACCTCATTTCTCCTTTACTCCAGGAAAATCTGAACAAGCTGATGACCAACCTTCGCAGCACCCAGCCCCACTTTGTTCGCTGCATCATCCCTAATGAGAGCAAGACTCCAGGTAACACACAGCACAGTCATGACATATCGTCAGGGGCTACGTGATGGGGACGGGACTAATGTTTGAAACGCGTTCTGCGCAGGGATCATGGATCCATTCTTGGTGCTGCACCAGCTGCGCTGCAACGGTGTGCTGGAGGGCATCAGGATCTGCAGAAAGGGCTTCCCCAACCGCATCCTCTACGCTGAGTTCAAACAGCGGTGAGACAAACTACAGACACACAGAGAAGGCAAAACTCACTTTTTTAGATGTCATGGGGGTCATAATGACAATCAGTCCTGAAACGTTCTTTTCGTATTTCCAGCTATCGCATCCTGAATCCACATGCCATCCCAGATGATAAGTTTGTGGACAGCAGGAAAGCTGCAGAGAAGCTGCTGGCCTCCCTGGATATCGACCACAACCAGTACAAATTTGGACACACAAAGGTAGAGGGCAGCAGCTTGTGTGTGACACAGAGCCTGTGGTTGAACGTGACTAAGAGCATTTACTCAAGTCATTTACACAAGTGCTGTACTTTAATAATTTCAAGGTACTTGGTCTTAACTTATGTACTTAAGTATTTCCATTTTATGCTACTTACACTAGCTACTTGGCAGATAAACAGAAAATATATAATGATGCGTTGAAACACATTAAATTACCCAACAGTATATAAAGTAGTTAAAATGAGCTCAGACTATACTATAGACTATACTATACTATTATACACTATAATTTGAAAATGGTGTTCACACATTATTGCATCAGTATTAATAATCAAGTAATAAATGAATTATAATAATATAATATGTTTTAGTACAGTACATTTAGCTGATAGCAATGTGGTATTGCTTCATATAAATACTTCTGTATGGCAAAATAACCAGACAGCCCTACAATTGGTCAATGATCTGGAAATTGGAAGCCCAGCGTAATGACTTTTATCTATTTAAATTAGTATTTGATCATAGATCTTTGAACTTGTGATGCATTCTCAGTTATCATTTATCTGGGGTTATGTGGGTTATGTGTTTTTTATTCTTTATAGCTGTGTTGTTAACTTTCTTTCCTTTCTTCATGTAGGTGTTCTTCAAGGCTGGCCTGCTGGGTCACCTCGAGGAGCTGAGGGACGAACGTTTGGCCAAAGTCCTGACACTGCTGCAGGCGGCCGCTCGTGGTAAAATCATGAGGATGGAGCTGCTGAGGATGATGGAAAGAAGGTAAAAGGCTATCATGACTTTTACATTTGTCATCACAATCAGACTATAAAATGTGTTCAGAGGCACAGGGAAACCTTTACGCTTTATACCTCACAGGAAGGTGAAGACATGAGTACAAAAAAAAAGAAAGACCTCCAACACCAGTTGCTTCTGTGAACAGGTTCAATAGCAACACGATCAGCCGCGAGCCTTTCAGCTTGTGATACACTATACCTTAGTGTTCACTCCCTCACTCTAGTATGTGTGGCATGCAAGGGCAGTGTTATCAGCGTGTGTGAGACGTGTGCTTGCCCTTGTATGGTTACCAGGCATGTGTGTGGCCCTTCTGTTAATAAGGGCCCCACTCACACACACACACACACACACACACACACACACGCACACATACACCACTCTCACAGGTCTCCGTCCATTCTCTCCATCCGCTCCCTCTAAATTAAACAATGCTGACGGTGTCCTCAGAGCCAGGTGGCGACATGTGTCAAGTGGCAGCTGCTCTGGCCCTCCCTAAAAATACAACCCTCGGCCCCCTCCCTGGATGCCCAGTGGCCCCTGGCCCCTTTTGTCCGCGGCGCCTGTACTTCTAAGTGAGTGCATTGATGGAATATGTGGAGGGTGGCAGAGGATTAAAGCCGGCCCTTGGACAGAGGGTTTTAGTTCCTAAATAAACACAGACGCTCACCTTTGAGAGGCACCCGGCATGGAGTCATGTCAAACATGTATCAGCTCCCCCACCCTCTTTCAGTCACCTTCCACCCTAGCGTGTGCACACTCACTCAAACTCAACCCCTAAACACTGACAGGAAGTCCTTGACCAATCTGCTCAGGGTCCATATTTAGGGCTGTGAGACGCCATCCTACTGAGACTAAATCAATCTAGTAACCCTGTTTGGTCACAGTCTTGAAACATCAAAAGCATCATTAGGTGTATGATTTCATGGCCCGTCCCTCAGTGTATGATTAGACACAAGGGAGTAGATAGTTGCAGGATTGTTGCCAAAAATCAGGCACCAAGGAGTGACTAAACAAGTGACTAAATAAATAAACGGAAGTCCAGGATAAATCTTTGTGACCTTCTCCTGATGTACTTGCTCTCAATTTCCCTTCTTATTTTAAAGTGCTTCAAGGTCTGCAGCAACCTTTTTTGGCTGGATCTCAACAGAAGGGCAACACTGAGTGATAGAGTTGAGTGATCCTAGTTGCACTATTGGTCGGCTAAATATCATGTGACTGAGATGGAGTTTCCCCATTGGCTAGATATTCTATAAAATAGATAATCTGTTGCTTCTAACTTTCTCTCTGAGTGATCATTTTACAAGTGAATATAGTGGAAATCACAGCACTGTCTTTGTCTTTAATTTATGTGTTTGGTAATTTAGTCAGACGATGTCACTGTTATAAAATCAGGATTTTAGCAGCAGATCAGCTGCTTGAAAATGGCTGGGAAGTTAACATGCAGTTGTAATGGGTCGCTTTTCAGTTACTATTTCCAACTTGTTTGTTGTCTGACAAAAGAAACAGAAAATGTAAATTCTACTGTATTAAAATACTGTTTTTCAATTACTTTTAAATATCCATTTTAAACAATTTGACCTGTGCAGCTAAAGCAATTTCACCCACTTATAAATTATGTTTACATATATTTAGGTACTTTAACTTTATTTATTACTTGTAGCTGTCTATTTGAGCTGTATCCATTACTCATCTTAACTGTTTAGACCTCTCTGCTCGCTTACTAACTAGTTGTCATGTCACTCTCAAATGCAACCTACAGTATGGCCCTCAGGTGTTCCAGCTCACTAATATGTAGATGTAATTTCAAACTATGTTTTTTTTGTTTTTTTAAATTAGTTAAGCTACCCCAAAATCGTTCCACAAACCCTCTTAGCAACTGCAGAGATAACCTGACAAGAATTTTTTTAGTGGTAGGAAAAACCTCACTCTGTCTCTCTCTTTTATTTGTTCCCATTTTCAGGGAAGCTCTGATGATCATCCAGTGGAACATCCGGGCCTTCAACGCTGTCAAGCACTGGCCCTGGATGAAGCTCTTCTTCAAAATAAAGCCTCTACTGAAGAGCGCTGCCACAGAAAAAGAGCTGGCCTCTCTGAAGGAGGAGCTGGCGAAGCTGAAGGAGGCTCTGGAGAAATCCGAGGTCAAGCGGAAAGAGTTGGAGGAGAGGCAGGTCAGCCTGATCCAAGAGAAGAATGACCTGTCTCTACAGCTGCAGGCAGTAAGTGACGTACAGTATTCAAACATTCAGCTTGGAGAAATATAGATGCTGTAGTAGTGCTTCAATACACTTAACACTTTTATGTCTTTTACTCTCTATCCCATAGGAGCAGGATAACCTGGCAGATGCTGAGGACCGCTGTGAACTGCTCATCAAAACTAAGATCCAGCTGGAGGCCAAAGTGAAAGAAATCATGGAGAGGCTGGAGGATGAGGAGGAGATGAGCGCTAATGTGCTCGCCAAGAAGCGCAAGCTCGAGGACGAGTGTGCCGAGCTGAAGAAAGACATTGACGATCTGGAGATCACTCTGGCTAAAGTGGAGAAGGAGAAGCATGCCACTGAGAACAAGGTGAGGAGAGTGGTAAAGGAGAACAGTGAGTTGCCTCCGCACAGTGCTAAAAGGTCACAAAAAGATCCACTGCACATTTAGTGGCTTGTAATAAATGACTGAGTGGAAAAAGAAAAAAAATGTGTCTTTGGTTTCTCATTTTCTAAGTGTCACGTTTCCTTTCTTCTTATGCCTTGCAGGTGAAGAACCTGATTGAGGAAATGGCAGCTCTGGATGAAACCATATTGAGGCTGACCAAGGAGAAGAAGGCTCTACAGGAGGCTCATCAGCAGACCCTGGATGACCTGCAGGCAGAGGAAGACAAAGTCAACACTCTGACCAAAGCCAAGGCAAAGCTGGAGCAACAAGTAGATGATGTGAGTTTTTCTTTATCATTTTAAAAAGCAGAGGAAAAAATATAGTGTTATTTCATTTAGTCCACATGGGTAACATTATATACATACAATAATATGTAACATTTATTTACCATCCTAATGTGAATCAGCTCGAGGGCTCACTGGAACAAGAGAAGAAACTGCGTATGGACTTGGAACGGGTCAAACGCAAACTGGAGGGAGATCTGAAACTCTCCTTGGAGTCTGTTATGGACCTGGAGAACGACAAACAGCAACTTGAAGAGAAGCTGAAAAAGTGAGTTATCATATAGTTACAGTAAAAGCATCATCATTTTGTCTTTGAAGGAATAATATGAATGAATAGTAATGATTACCAAACATTTTCTACCAGGAAAGACTTTGAAATGAATGAGATGAGCACAAGGATTGAGGATGAGCAAGCCTTGGTGAATCAGCTCCAGAAGAAGATAAAAGAGTTACAGGTGCAAAATAGTCTTTTGACCTCTGATAGAGCCGTTATGAAACGTAATTTTGAAGAAAAAACTGACCACTGTTTTTCTCCAGGCTCGTATAGAGGAGCTGGAGGAAGAGCTGGAGGCCGACCGGTCTTGTAGGGCCAAGGTGGAGAAGCAACGCGGGGATGTGGCTCGAGAGCTGGAGGAGCTGAGCGAGCGCCTGGAAGAGGCTGGTGGGGCCACCTCTGCCCAGATCGAGATTAACAAAAAAAGAGAGTCAGATTTTCTGAAGCTGAGGCGAGACCTGGAGGAAGCCATGCTACACCACGAGGCCACGACAGCGACCTTGCGGAAGAAGCACGCCGACAGCGTCGCAGAGCTGAGCGAGCAGATCGACAGCCTGCAGAGAGTCAAACAGAAGCTGGAGAAGGAGAGGAGCGAGGCCAAGATGGAGGCCGACGATCTGGCCTCCACTGTGGAGCAGCTTTCCAAGGGCAAGGTAGATAGATGAACAAGAAACATATTGTGAGATGTAAAGCAGAATGGTGCAAAAATAGATCAATCCCTCAAAAAAAAAAAAAAAAAAAAATTCTTGTCTGCAGGCTACATCAGAGAAAATGTGTCGCCTGTATGAAGACCAAATGAATGAGGCTAAAGCCAAGGCTGAAGAGCTCCAGAGGCAGCTCAACGAAACCAACACCCAAAGGGCCCGAGCTCAGGCTGAGAGTGGTAAAGACCTTTCATTTTATCATAAATCTCACAAACAGATTGCACAGACTGGTTAGTAAACACAGAAACATTTGTTCTCCTCCTGATATAGCCGAGCTGGGCAGGAAGCTTGAGGAACGCGAATCCATGGTCTCTCAGCTCCAGCGTGCCAAGAACTCCTTCAGCCAGAATGTGGAGGACCTTAAGAAACAGCTGGAGGAGGACAATAAGGTCAGCTACCTATCAATGCATCAGTTAGTGGTTATTAACTACAAGGCTGGTTGCTAACTTGTAGAGATTCAGAGTTCCTCCAATTAAGCTAACTTGTCTCCACCATCATGATTGGTCTGTAAAGGCTAAGAGTGCCCTGGCCCATGCACTGCAGTCATCTCGCCACGACTGTGATCTTCTGCGAGAGCAGTACGATGAGGAGCAGGAGGCCAAGGCTGAGCTGCAGAGAGCTCTGTCCAAGGCCAACGCTGAGGTGGCTCAGTGGAGGACTAAGTATGAAACTGATGCCATCCAGAGGACTGAGGAGCTGGAGGAAGCCAAGTGAGTGAGATGTATTTTGAAAGAATCAGATGGCGCAGAATGATCAGTTGACGGGATGTGAGTCAAATCTGTTTGTCTCTCTTTAGGAAAAAGCTGGTGACACGTCTGCAGGAGGCTGAAGAGACGGTGGAAGCATCCAATGCCAAGTGCTCCTCCCTGGAGAAGACCAAACATCGGCTCCAGACAGAGATCGAGGACCTGGTTATTGACCTGGAGCGTTCCAATGCTGCAGCCGCTGCCCTCGACAAGAAGCAACGCAACTTTGACAAGGTACTGGCAAAGAGAAGCTGGAACAGACATGTTGAAAAGTAAATGTGCTTCCTGTTGACAACTACTACAGAGGATTGCATTTGCTTCCCCTAAGGGATAAAACCCTAATTTGTCTCTACCCGAGTTGGGTACTGGTACAATTTATAGTATGTCCATCTGTGGCGGTGATGCGCTTTAAAAGCTGTAGATACGTCTCATTTTGCCCTCCAGGTGCTGGCTGAGTGGAGACAGAAATATGAAGAGTGCCAGTCGGAGCTGGAGACCTCTCAAAAAGAGTCTCGTGGTCTGAGCACAGAGCTCTTCAAACTGAAGAATTCTTATGAGGAGACCCTGGATCATCTGGAGACCATCAAGAGGGAGAACAAAAACCTCCAAGGTACAGCTGACATCTTTAAATCCCAGCTGGAAAGTTGCATTAAAGAAACTTAACATGAACAAATGCACTACTTTTCTATCTCTACTTCCCCAGAGGAGATTGTTGACCTGTCTGATCAAATCAGTCACGGAGCGAAGACCATCCATGAGCTGGAGAAGATGAAGAAGGGTCTGGACATGGAGAAGAGTGAGATTCAAGCTGCACTGGAGGAAGCTGAAGTAAGCAGTTTGTTATCTTCTCTCACTATTTGTGGTCTGTCCGATAATCCTGACTGAGGGTTATATCTTCAAGCATTAAGTGGTCTGGCTGACTGTCTGTCTCAGGGCACTCTGGAGCATGAAGAGAGCAAAACTCTCAGGATCCAGCTGGAGCTAAACCAGATCAAGGCCGACGTTGACAGGAAGCTGGCAGAGAAGGATGAGGAAATTGACAATCTTCGGTGAGTTTTATGTTTTACCCTTTTCGTCCTGGTTTATAGCAGATCTGAGATTCATTCCACATCAACCACTCCACATACACTGCATCCTTCTAATCTTTCTATTCCCACCACATTACCTTCCAGTCGTAACCACCAGAGAACACTGGAGTCCATGCAGGCCACCTTGGATGCCGAGGCTAAGTCTCGCAACGAGGCAGTGCGTCTGAGGAAGAAGATGGAGGGTGACCTGAATGAGATGGAGGTGCAGCTGAACCACGCCAACAGGCAGGCCTCTGAGTCCCAGAAACTCCTGAGAAACCTGCAGGTTCAGATCAAGGTGAGTCCATACAGCAGCTAACTGGTCAGATTAATTAGTACATACATTTCCACTGTTACATTAAACAAAATATTGTGCTTGTACTTGATCTGTGACTCCAGGACATTCAACTGGAGTTGGATGAGACTATTCACCAGAATGAGGAGCTGAAGGAGCAGGTAGCGGTAACTGAGCGCCGAAACAACCTGCTGGCTGCTGAGGTGGAGGAGCTCAGGGCTCTGCTGGAGCAGAACGACCGTGCGCGCAAGCTAGCTGAACATGAGCTGCTTGAGGCCACCGAGAGGGTCAACCTGTTGCACTCTCAGGTAGGACGATTCAAAACCACCCTGCAGTGCATTAAATAAACAAATGAGCTTATCAAAGATTGGTCACATACTTTCATTAGTTGAGCATGAAGATTGTTTTCCTAGCTAGCTACTCTTAGTGGTTGTTAGCTGAAAATATTCTGCTCTAATCATTGGTATGTTATGCTAGATGCTATGGAATCCTAGCTAGTTTTGGAAATGAAAGATGCCATACTGAAAACAAAATAAATTCATAGTTAAATCATGAAAGATGTCTTTAAACTGATTGTCTTGCTCCAGAACACTGGGCTCATCAACCAGAAGAAGAAGTTGGAGAGCGATCTTTCCATGCTGTCGAATGAGGTTGACGATGCTGTTCAGGAGTGCCGCAATGCAGAGGAGAAGGCCAAAAAGGCCATCACTGATGTAAGACAGTGAATAAACAAAATATAAAGTGCAAGAGTTTAAGACATTAAGCTATAAGACATTTACACTACAAGATATCACATACAGGATGATAGATATCCTGATTACTTACCATCTTAAATAAACATCTGGCCTGTTGATGATGCTGCGATTGCTTCCAGTCCAGTTTGGGATAACTTCTGCTCCTTTAACACTGATCTTCCATATTTGTAGGCGGCCATGATGGCAGAGGAGCTGAAGAAAGAGCAGGACACCAGCGCCCATCTGGAAAGGATGAAGAAGAACATGGAGCAAACCATAAAGGACCTGCAGATGCGTCTGGATGAGGCTGAGCAGATTGCTCTCAAGGGTGGCAAGAAGCAGGTTCAGAAGCTGGAGGCCAGGGTAAGAGCTGAAATTTATGAAGTCAATGTCTCATTTGCTAATACTTGTAACTGGTGAGTTTGTAATAATAATAATAATAATAATAATAATGTAATTGATCTTGCTGGTAGGTGAAAGAACTGGAGAATGAACTGGAGTCTGAGCAAAAGAAGAGTCAGGAGTATCAGAAGGTAGTGCGCAAGTACGAGAGGAGAATCAAAGAGCTGTCCTACCAGGTAAACCACCACTGTCTGCACAAAGAGCATGATGGGGTATAAAATATGAATGCATGTTTTTTTTAACAACAACAAAAAAGGATAAGAGCTCCCTTTGGTGTTTGTGCAGGCTGAGGAAGACAAGAAGAACCTGGTCCGTCTGCAGGACCTCATCGACAAGCTGCAGGTCAAGGTGAAGAGTTACAAGAGACAGGCTGAAGAAGCGGTGAGTCAGCACTTTACTATCGGTGTGCTCTTAGTGATAAGTGATCATTTGAGTCACATTATTAATCGCAGCTGGATTGCTGAAGTGGAAAAGTAACTGAAGAGCCTGAGCGTCCCTTCAGTTCACTGCACACTACATATCGCTCTTGGTCTCCTCGTCTCTGCAGGAGGAGCAGGCGAACACCAACTTGTCTAAGTACAGGAAGCTCCAGCATGAGCTTGACGATGCAGAGGAGAGGGCTGATATGGCCGAATCACAGGTCAACAAGCTTCGGGTCCGCACCCGCGACCAAGGCAACAAGGTTGGTAAATACATGTAATACATTTCGTATTACAGTATGATGCAGAATTGTATGACCTTTGGAAGAATTTATTAAAATTAGCCGGCAGGCTTCATAACAAGAACTAATCTTAGAAGAGACTGGATGTAATCCTCTGTTGAAGATGACCTCACATAGCCCTCTCATGTGATCTCTGGTGTGGTCATGAGTAACTCTATGACACTGTGTATGTGGTTGCTAACAAACACCCCTGTCTTGTGTATTTCAGCTTGCTGAGTGATGCGGTGAGGCTGAACGCCGCAGCCAAACATATCACAGCTAGCCAGCTGCAACAGCTGTGCTTGACTGTGTGGACACACCCAAATAAAGACTTTTAAATCTTTAAATATGACTTTTGAGTGTGTTAATATGTGACAAAGATAGAAACCCAACAAAGAAGGTCTAAAGAAGAATTTATTATATTATTAATTTGACAAACAGTTGTTAAATAAGGAAAATGAAGTTAAACACCAGCATTAGAGGAGTACCATGAGGATTAAAGCTGGTTACAGAAGTGGTTATAGCTGAATGTGAAACTGAAACATGAATCTTCTCTGTTTGTTTGATGGTCACACAGGATTAGTAAGACGTGTGCAGAAGTGAATTTTTAACAACCATTGGAGAGTTTCATCACGAACTATCCACTATCAGCATCTCGTAATAGTTGTATTCTTTTCAACAAAATTTCCACAGATGCTGTTGATCCTGGTGAAGTGAGATACAATCATATTTGATCAAAAAAGCACCACATGGTCCGAGTTTTGAGTGAGTTCAGAAATGGCTGCAACATGTGTCTAATAATATTCTCATCATGCCAAACATTACATAAATCTACAGTTAACAAAGTCAAAATATCAGGGACCTAAAGTAAAAGTCAAATTGTGTGTTGTATTAAACACTATGCAGCATGTTCTTGGCCAAGAGGATAAGATTTCACCGTTTTCTATACAAACTAATGATTGAATGAAATCTAAGGCCTTCTAGGAGCAAAACACCACATACACAACTGCTGAGAACCAACTCTCCTGTGCATCATACAGAGGGATCAGTCTCAGAAATTCAGATCACAAAGCTACAGAAGTCAGGGATTGTTTATGTAGTTGCTGACAACATTCATGTTTTTATAGCAATAGCTTCATTGACGTCTGTGGTGGATGACTGAAGTGATAAGTGGGATTAAGATCCATGATAATACATGATCAGTACTAACAACGCAACACCACTGCAGAAGTACCCTGTGTCAAATCACATCATGTTAGACATTAGCATTTATCTTGGGCATCCAGCAAGAAAGTGAATGTGTAAGAGAGAAGCACTTGCGAAGTGCAATTGCATTAACTTCACTGCAAAGCACAAAAGATGAACTAATTCAAAGTATGTGCACACCCATCAAGAGATTTTTAAGACATGCTGAATGAAAGCTAGAAAACAAGGAAACATTTCTGGTTAATTAGCTTCAAAGCAAATAAAAGGCTTCAAACGTGTTAAAAGGACGTGTGTTTGCATCCCAAGGCGGCATAGCACTAGTAACTCATGGCATCAGGGGCCAACTGTATAAATGCCCATATACATTCACATGAACATGTAGTACGACTCATGACATGTTGGGAGTAAAACTGTACACTTGTCATTTTAAGTGATTTGATCTGTACGGTATCCGGATAGAATATGAGGTAGCTCATTCATTTGTACTTATCACGGGTTCGGCCTGTTTTAATTTGGGACACCAAATATCTGTTCAGCTCCGCATCTTCCATTTCCACTAAACAGCTGCACATTCAGGCCATGGACACATCAACACAGCCGTGCTCTCTGCTTCTTCTCAATCCAAACTAAAGATAGAGTGGTGGCACCGAGCAAAAAGAGCCATCACATGGAAAGATTGTCATTCTCAGATTGTAGTCTGAGATTTTGAGAAATACCAGAGAAAGTGGTAGACTTTAAATCCAATGATGACGGTGATGGGCTGAAGGCTAATTCACATAAAACAAACTTTGTGTGGACTGGAACAATTAAAGTGGTATCTTAACACTAGCACCTGCATAGTTTATTCTCTTCCCAAAGCATCTCTCACAGCACGGATACAAATTCTGTTACAAAATGAAGGTTTTTTTTAATTAACAAATGTGTTAAGATATAATAAACAATAAAAACAATTTCATCTGTGCAATGTTTTATTCTACAGTTTATCCAGAGCTAAAAGCCATTGTTTTCAACAACACAAAAATAAATCAGCAAAAATAACCTGGAAAAGAGACGAGTCCCTGGGTGAAGCTTCTGAAGCCACAACAGAGTGGATGGTTTTAGGTGAGAGGAGCCCCGTGTGATTTGTGAAACATGTCAGCCGGCCCACAAGCTACCTAAATGTTCCAAGTAGAGCCAGAAAGCACCAATCAACAACAAGCCACCTAATAAAATAGACCCACAGACAGGTTAAATGAAAATGCTGTTCATTGAGAAGACCCCTGCAAAAACTCCAATTTTACCAGTTTCCTCCACTGGTCAGGAAGTGGAGTGGCATGGAGTCAACAGAGAGTGTGTAGGTAGTGGGAGGTTGAGGCCGCTCCCTCCTGGCAGCCCTGTGACGCGCCACTGACCTGCACATCTGGGTGACAGTTTAATCTGTGGCCATTTCCAAACCAAGTCCATGTGAAAAGAATTTTTTTTCTAACATATAATTTGTTGAATCATACATATTTTTTTCATAGAATTTTGTATAGGTTATATAAAAGGCTCTATCTGAATTTCACCTAAAGCAAACAACCAATGCAGGTGTCATTCCTCAAGTCTTTTAATTGTCTGTTATACGATGTTGGTGATCTGGGATGGGCAAACAGGTTTCCTTTGAAGAAGAGCAGTAACTCAGTGAGAGGACGAACGCCGGGCAAATTATGTCCCCTTACATCTGTGATGACAGCCTCCATGCGTAGGTACAGACAGCAAACAGGTGAGTCTTTACATCCAGAAACGCAGTCACAAAGCACCTGGATGGCTCAGATAAGTAGAGTTGTCACCAGCTTTAGGTGTCCATGCTCCCTGTGACCCTCTGCCCTGTCCCACCCCCAGCGCAGTGAGTGCACATGCTGGAGGTCAATCTTCCAGCAGGTCTCTGTCCAGATCCATGAAGGGCTCATCAATGTAGCTCGCTATGGCACACAGAGAAGTCCTGTCTGAGCCCAGCAGCACTGACACCGTCTCCTTCCAGTAGCTGAAGGGGATACAGGAGCTCTGAGGAGAGAAACCAGAGAGGAATTAGAACAATAAAACTCATTAATGACAGTCACTTAATTAGCTAGTTAACCACAATATCTGGTGAGCTAGAAGCTTGCATGCAATGGTATGAAGCTGTATGCATGTATGAAATGGTTGGTGGCATCAATTCGTTGTCAACCTAGTCATCTTGTGTAAAGGACAGTTTACATGCTCAGAAAAATCAGCTTTGCTTAGCTGTATGCCTGATATCTACTGGATCTGATGCTACATATGTATTAAGTGGAGGATTTCACCATTAACAAATAACTGTAATTGAGATTAAATCACAGTGATCAACCTTGTGTTTACATGTGACAACATTTACAGCAATGTAAATTGCCACTACAAACAATAATAATAGTTTAAGGTTGTATATATACACTTGAAACATTATGAAACTTTGTTGGTGTTGAAGCAGCCATGACTGACATTTTTGGCCACTTGGGGGCAGCGGAACAAGCAAAAACACAGCATTCAAACCACCTTATAAAAGTTGTTAAGGATAACAAGTTAGACATCAGCTGACTATTTACACATCCTGTAGATATGCAGCAACATTGAATTCATTAGGACTCATGCTTGTGGTCAGCTGGTGAATGTTAAGGCCAATATTAACTCACCTTTAAACCCACATTTTGGTCCTACCAACCCCCTGAGAGAAACATCTGGCTCTTTACCTGCTAAATGCTCCACTGTGTTCACTTGCTAGCCTCTAACTTTGTCTGTTTGCTGTTTGGTACCTGGCAGGTGGTGTACAGTGCATTTATCAGAGCAAGACAAATACTGCATTAGCACAAAGCCTCTAACAGTATAAAAAGTGTTTGTTTAAGTTGACTGAGATACTATGTGTAGTAAATGTTCAGTTCAAGGGGGCTGGAGAAAAGTACACTAAATCTTATTCATTAAACATATATTCACAATATCAGTCACTACTTATGTTTTTGAGATCATTTACATGTATACAGAATTTGACTTTCAAGACCTATTCTATGGTTTTCTGTGTACAGCCACTTTGTCACTGCATAGACATGGCATCAGTTGTGGTTGCTCATTGATTTGCATCAACAAGAACAGCAGATGATGAACACTGAAAAGCGAAACTAAACGTTTTTTTTTTCCACCAATCAGTTTCCTTCAGTGGAAAAAGAGGTACTTCGTGATTTGTTGAAAGAGTTCTCACTCAACTTACAACAGTTAACACTTTTCCAAATCTGCAAGACAACTCTTACCAATACTGAACACAACATAGCATTTTTTAAATCACCTGTCTCTTGGAATTTTTTGGAACATTTTAACCAGTGTTGCTGTCTAAAGTTGTTAAACAAACTGGTTTTACAGCCTAGTCACACAAATGTCACTGTGACACAGCACTGTAAACTAAACACTTTAGGTCTTTGTTTTTCCCAGCATGCATATCCATGATTTCAAAACACTGAACCTTAACAGTAGAGAATGAGAGGAGACTCTCAGTTGCTGCTTGTGTGATGCAGCTGATGTAGACTTTGGTGAGATGAAGATATTTTCTTAAATTTCAAGTGTATGCAGGAAAGAGCGAGAGCTACTCACATTCTCCAGACAGGTGCTATCTTTGTCCTTGTTGAGGTAGTGGCGCTGCCAGAAGCGCAGTAGGTTGTGGAAGTTGTTGAGCAGGCAGCCCGGGTACTTCTCAGCATACTCCTTCTCCCGTAGGGCGTTGAGGTAGAAGGGCAGTTTAGCCTTTCTTCTGGCCAGCATCAAGATCACCAAACTGGTGTTTAAACAGCTCACATTCTCCTGCAGGGAAAAAGGATGGGGTGGATACAAAAAGGAACAAGAATGAGTTAGAAAGTGTTTTGGACCACAACCCTAACAGATACAAATTAAACAAATGTTATTTGTAGCTGACATTAATTTAAGTTTAGACTAAAAGTGTCTTTCATTCATCTGGTTAAATTTTTGAGACAGAATTTCTTATTCTTCAATGATTTGAGTTTCTCTGTACTCGTGTGACAAAGTGAAAATTAAACAAGACCTGTGTGAGAGTCTGTACGTTGATGATCGTGATCAGTCGAAAGAGGAAGGAAAGCCTGTTCTCAACTCTGGCCATGTAGGACAGCAGGCAGCACTCAGACAGTACCTCCACCACTGGAGGGGGGGGGGGACAAAACACTGAAATCAATGTTTTAACCCTTGCAGGAATAGCACTTCCACTTTAAATGACTTGTTAAGCAACAACTGTGTTTTCAGATGTATCCATGTTAGTATGGACATAGCCTAACATTATCTGTCAACTTAGGTGGGGTTGGTCAGAATATTGTATCACTGGTCTACATGTGTAACTTGCCATTCTGGTTTACCTTTGACATCTTCAGTCTGGCTCTCAAAGCGGTCCAATGACAGGACAATGCAGCGCACCAGCATGTTAGAGTCCACCAAAGAACTGTTGATCTGCGTCAGGAAGGTCTGAAACTACAGAGGAGACACCAAGATATATCATTAGACAGTCTTGTTCATGCAACACACAAATTGAGAAAAGAATGTAAGCATATACAAAACCTTTTTATAGGGCATATAAAGGTGTACAATTATACCTTCTCTGGAGTGTTGACATATTTGTTGAATCTTTTGAAGGCATCAATGTTGAACTTCATGAGCTCTCCCAGAAGATCAAAGTAGCTCTGTAGGACATCTCGGGAGGTACAGCCACTATCTATGATACAGAACAGGATGTGCTGTCGAGGGATGGAAGCAGACAGTGAAGTGAATCAAGAGAAGTCAAAAATCAAGGAGAGATCTGTGTGATATGGACTATGGAATGAGAAAAGCAATCTGTGGTTGTACATACCTCTAGTAATCCCCTCTTCAGGAGGAACATTTGGTCTGCATAGGAGGTGGCTCCTCTGAGAAAACTTTCCACTGCCCTCGCCTGCCAGAATCTACATACACAACAGAAAGAGTCAGCAAAACTACAAAAAGCAGAACTACACAGACAAATCTTGGGAAATCTTTTTTCAAAAGAAGCAGTCTTTTGCTCCATGATAGGGGTGTTCGACTTTCTCCAAATAGGTTGACACTTAAAATATCAACATCTTCATCTCCCTCTTGATCTTTGACATGCACAATGCTGACCTGAAGGAAGAGTCTGGAGGCTCCCTCTTCATGACAGCGAGGAGGCGTGTGAGGAGGCCTTTCTTCCCATCACACACTAGGCTTCTGTCTGTGTTGACTAGAGCTTCCACCTCAGGGATGTTAGCCTTCATGGATATGGCACTCAGTTCATTCAGCTCCTGGCTATTCAGCAGGAGGTACTTGTTCCTGAAAGACAGGAAACATATTTTAAAAAACAAACTCTGCTAATGTAAAACGTAAAACGAGAAGTTAGATCCAAGGCGACTCAATTAAGGGTCACTTACTCATGGTGATCACTGAAACTCTGGAGTAGCCGCAAAAACTGGATTTTGAAGGAAATTTCCTGTATGATGACAATAAAGAAAAGTTAATGTCTATGTTAAATTTAATTACCCAGAGCCAATTTCCAAATAGTGTGATGTTAAAAGTTCATACTGGACTACAGTCGCAGTTCTCATTCTGGCCGTGCACCACATGATTTGAAGCAGTGTATTTCCTCCAGATCAGCTTGTCAAAAAGGTTATTGAGCCCTGGGATGAGACGAAACTCAGCCAGCATCTTGTGCACCTGTGTGCAGAGACACAATACAGTAGTCAAAGAACTACACTCTGCTTAGAGCCAACACTCCCACTTAAACCTCAAATGGAGGAGATGTGTCGTTAAGTACCTGGTTCCTCTGTCGACCCATGAGAAGGACACATAGCACATAGAGCACTTCCACTTTATACATGATCTCATGGACGATCTTCATGGACTGGGGTAGTCGATGTCTCAGCGGGCTGGTGGCCAAGGAACTCTCATCTGATGACTCTGAAAGTCAGGGAAAAAAGTTATCTCAGACAAAGTTCGTAAGATTTAAGTAAGCTGAATAAAAAGCAGCCCAAGTGGCTGTGGTCTCACCTGTACTGCTTTGTTCAGCGTCCTCAGTAGCCATCTGCATAAGGGCATCCAGCACCAGAGCATTGTCCAGCCATGTGTACCAGTCCTCCAGCTCCTGCAGGAAGTTCGCTCCTGTGGCCTCAGACACCTTTCTAGTGGCCAGCTTACACAGCCGTTCAATGAACCCAGGGATGTTCAGCAGGGTTACTGCAAAGAAGAACATTTGACAGTTCACAATTTACTGATCCATATGTTACATAGTCTGTGTGAGCTCTGTTCTTCAAAGACAACTTACCCTGGTTGACCTCTGCCCGTGAGGGACTAGCATTGCGTTTCTGCTGGGCATTTTTGGCGAGCAGGGTGTGCTTGTCATCGTTCCCTACATCAGGTTCTGAGATGGTGACTGACAGGATGCGGCAGAAGTTGGCCAGCTGTTGTTGGTCAAAGCTTTGGACCAGGCCTGACAGGTTGGGGATGCCTTCTAACTGGATCATCTCCTTAAAAATGCAAATACATGAACTGTTACCAATCTGAAAGTAGACTGGAATCAGAAATACAACATTGTCACACTTAACAAGTTGTGAGATTAACCCTGAATTTGTTACCTGCTAAAAATGTAGTAGTTTTTACCATATCTAAGTAAATCAGTTTATGGATCTATCAAAAAGTAACTTCAATATATTGCCACAGGCAAAAGCACTGTCTGAAGATTACTTCTTTAGGTCCAGTAAATTATCCCTGTAAGTTATGCCTGTGCATACGTCAGCTTCTCTAGGACCTTTAATCCACACAAGGAAAGCAAATAGATTGTAATGCTTGAACAGGCTATTTAAAAACAGTCACAAAGGAGGATGTGTGTTTTTTCATACACTAAATTCTCCATTGCTGCAAAAACAGTTTTGAAAACAATAGATGTCTTTGCAAGTTGCTAGATATTATTGTAACCACTAACTTTTCTATGCAAGCTCATGATGAATACAATGATTACATGATACAATGATACATGATTGCAATGCCCTTCTATGTTGCTACATTCCTTATAACAAAAGTAAGAGGCCTTAAAGCAGCATGATACTTCTGCCATGGCGTTGCAGAGGTTTAAAATGTCAACTGTCGTAAAACTATTGCAAATGATACAGACATGTTGTGCATAGCACCTTATCAGTCAGGCAGTGTGCATTATACACCTTAAACATTCCTAGTGACATTCTCTCACATCATTATATAAAGTGAGGAGGTGGTTAGCACTGGCAATACCTTTGCTAAATCACAAAATATTAATTTACTGTATCTGCCATAATTACTAAGCGGAAAAACTTCCCTCACTGAACTGCTCCTGATCATCTTTGCAAAGTCGCCTAATTTTTTGCAATGACCCTGAGACTCTGATGTATAAATAATTAAGTTACCAATGGATGATTAAGTAATTGTAATTTTTGAGGAGAAGCACAAGCTATAATTAGAGGGTCGTAAGAGTCTACATGTAGGCACCAGAGAAACCTTGTTGGTAGAAACATTTAGAAGATTTTATAACATGACCAAAATCAGGAATAATTGCGTCTGGCTTAAAAAATAAAAAATAAAAAGAAAGCAAAAGAAGATTTGCGCAGCCGTCTAGTAAATTGTAGCGCTGAAACAAAAGAAAGGTAATCAGAGACAGAGAGACAAATTTTAAATTGTTGAATGATATTAGGAGAATTTAAAGTGGAGCACAGCATGAGTCTGAAATTAAGGCACTGTTGTGCCATTAGGGTGTTAGCAGTTCTGCTGGGCATAATGTTCTGGCATTAGAGGTGTCTGCACATGGACAAGAGCCATCAGACAACATATACATTTATCTTCAGCACAAAGATTAAAAGGCTATTATTTCCACAGAAAAATTAATTAAGATTAAATATTAATTAGACTGATTTTTCAGAAACAGTGGCACAAAAAATTGATGGTTTTTGCCAAATCTCACTGAATAAAATGACTTCACAGACCCTTTAACTCTTGAGTTAAGAAGGGTAATAAACAATGATTAATGCTGATGCTGAAGATTTGATCCAAGTATAACTCTGACCTTTTTGACTCCAAGAATATCTTCAATTAGAGTAGCAGTCTGTAGGAAGGTCTTCTTGTTTGTCATCAGGGTGAAGAGAAACAGAACAAAGTCATCCCTCGCTGCCAGGCTCTTCGTGACCCCCTCCGTCTATGAATTGAAAGAAGAACATTTGCCCATTCCTATCTGTAAAAACTGCCCTGTTCTGAGACAATATAACTGCACAAACCAACTGCAGAGAAAATACTTCTAGCTTTATACATGTGCTAAGTTGAAGCAAGGTATGATGCACCTCTGACATTTCTCTGGTACGTAACAAAATGTAATGGGATACTTACACATATACAACAGTTGTAGAGAACACTAAGGCAGTCCTTAACCAAGTCATCATTCACTGTTGTAACAGAAACACAGGCGTCTAAATTCAGTTCAATTATCTTCATGTAAAAACATACTAACTTCAAAATAAAAGCAGACATGTGCACAGATGAAATGTCAGCCTACTTACTTTTGGGTTTTTTCTTCTGCATAGTTAGTGTAGGTCTCATCAAGATCTCCACAAGCAGCTTCAGGAGAACAGTAAAATTAACATTTAATATGTTTTTTATGTCTCAGTATGAGTTGTTCTATACATTACAACTGGTTCTCCAAAGGGAACAAACTTCAGTGTCTCTGAGTCAAACTTACATCGACTCCACCAAAGAGGTCAAAGGTGTATGTGTTGGGGAAGGTGGATTCCTGAGCGGTCTTCCTGTCCTCTGTGACAAAAGACATGGCCTCCATGGAGAGATGGGATGATAATACCTGACAAAAACCATTGTTCACATGTAATTTACGTCACCCAGGCTCCAAAGTGAAACATTCACCATCAAGTGACGAAAAGCAGTAATTCCACAGCATCATTGTTGGATGGACTAATGCTGTGAGACTACCTTAAGAAAGTTGTGGGCATGGGAGAGGTCACTGTTGGGATGGCTGCTCTCGTAGAGCTTCTGCAGCAGAGTAGGGATGCCATTCCACTTGGCCCGTTTATCTCTCTCCTGGAGCAGGCCTCCCGGGAGCTATGACATATAATTAGAGGCAAACTTAAACAGTGTGATATACACAGTGAAAATGCATGTTTATTTGTAATAAGGCTTCAGCAAGGTTTTAAAGGTCTATTTTTGCTTGTACCAGTGGATGTCAGGATGCAATCCTGAGATCAATTTAAGCTTTATTTAAGTTAAAGAGAACAGAAACTAAAAGCAGTTTCAGCAGAGTTTTATTATATCCTTGTTATACCTAAAACCATGTGACTTGAGAGTCCTAGTCTGGCTAATAGTCAGTGAGTGCACATGTATTGTGTATCAAGGCCATAAAGTGCAGCAGAATCTTAAAGTTGACCCTACAGTTTACTGGACATCAGCAGAGTGTTCTAATCATAGGTGTGCTGTGTTGAATTTTTTCCCTCATTAGGAATAAAATCTTGTGGGGCATTCTGAATTGAGGTTTCTGGAAAGGTCACAAAAGAGGGTGTTTTCTATATTTACCAAATAGATTTATTGCCTCTGCAAGTAATGAATGCACACACACATTTTCTGTCTTACTGTTGAAACCCTTTTAAAATACAAGGCTGTGACAACTGTATGAATTTAGAGAAACGCTCATGGAAAATTCCATGATAATGCGTAACCCAAACATTTTCAATGTAAAAATGCTGAGATAATTTTATCTTTCTGCAAGGAAGAAACATTTTGAAAAATGTGGCATTCACAAGAAGCTCACTCAGATGCTCCATAGCTTCTATTCATTCTAAATGGTGAATAATAAATGCTGATTCCGTAATTCACGCATCAGAGGCCAAAAACAACTGTCAATCATTTTAAATTTGAAAATTATAATACTGACAGTCAATGCAGCTCCTAGGTGCTACAAATTGCCCGCATGGGGCAAGTTTGTTATATTCAGCTGTATTTAACATTAAAAGATAATCTGTAGAAACTTTGGGTCCACAGTGGCTTCCTCTCACACTTTGATGCAAACAGGACAGAAAAAATAACCTAGGAATGTTTGTGTTCTCTGTTACAGCTTTTGGCCCACTGATGACACTTGACGACCTACACTCCTGAATGCCTTCACTGACATCGAAAAACCATCATTAATGTGATGTGATTTGTTAATAGCACCGACATGATACCAGTGTACAGTATATTATGGTAGCTGGCCCAACAGTCTCTGATCAACCTGGGAAAAGTGGTCGCATTCAACAGGACATTATAAGAGGATATTGTCATATAATAGACGCTTTCTGTTTGTGTCACCAATGAGAGGCACTACCTTACGCTACCTCGAAAACTGCAAGTCAGCAAGGAAGGTAAAAGGCAAGACACTGACACGCAGAAATAATGCAGGGGCACTGGAATAAATTGTTTTATTGGCTTTGCAATTCAGCGGTTTAATGGTGGGTGTGTAGCAAAGAAAGTGGAGGAGATACACGGTGAATAAATGAGTCAAATGCACAGGAGCGACGTCAACATGCATAAGGACTAGGAAAAAAACATAACAGCTGACGTAAACTAGCGTTATAATCAAAACTAACCGGACCAATATGTTTTCCAAAGGTACATATGTCACGTAAATGTTTGTTTGTGTGAAAATAAAAATAAACCCGCTAACATTCCCTTGTCCAAACAGCTGTTGTGGCGTATCCATTTATGGAAACGATAGTTATTGTGGTTAGTGTGTCGTTACGTAATCACCTGAGCTGTTCAGCTGGCTTAGCTAGCTAGCTGACGTTACCCTATTTGCTAACATTAGCAAACGTTACTGCCGTTGATTAACACTGGGTGATTTAAGCCCTTCCAAAATTAAACTATGGGCTCTCCAGTGACACTGGAACTCCAATGCCCGATATAAACAACATTATCCCGTCAAACTTTCAGTTCAACGTGTATTTATGTCGTATTTCACCTGGCCTATAATGCTAAGCTAACGTGGAGCTAACAACAAAGACCCATTTGAAGCGGAGCTTGCTTCATACACTTGTAGTGCTAACGTTATTTTGCTTGTCACTGAGCAAATGCTGTTTTACAGAACTCAATGATGTCAAAGTTTAAGGTTTACCTTTTAAAAAACACCCTGTCGTGTCGTAGCTAGCTGTAAAGCCAAAGCTGACAAGATAGACTACATGTCCAGTCAAGTCTCCAGGACAACGTCTTCGTTTTCAGGCTAGATTCCAAGCGCAAGTCCCTGGCCTCACTCGATCAACTTTCGGATGTGTTTATTGGCGTAACATGCATCGTTTCTCTTACCTGTGTCCCTCGACTGAAACCCTGGCCAGTAATCTTACTGGCCGTGAACTTTGTGACAATATTATTGTTGCAATTTCTTCGTTTTCCTCCAGTACAAGGGGACTCGGACCCCAGAAGCGTCGCCATTATTTCTTCTTCCTGAACTGAACTGTTCGGGCAGGAAGTGGAAAGCTTTGATGAATTATTGGACGTAATTAAGCGGCACCTGCTGGCAGAAAAGCACACTCTGCAAGAATCCAATGGCTTCAATCATATTTACATTTGATATAAATGGTTTATAATGATAAAATACATCGTAATACCATAAAAATACGGGACAGATTCTCTCGTTTTTAGGTGGTTTTATGTGTTGCTCATTCATCACATATCTGACGTATTTTATTGGATTCCAATAACATACCAATGATAACAATCATATTACAGTAATATTAACATACAACATTACATTCAAACAGCATGTACAAATTAGGTTGTAAATGAATACATTCAATGTTTGAAAACAAATGAGAACAAATGTCTCACTGTCTTTTAATTTTCAGCTCACATATCCACTGTGTGTCACTTTGAACACAGAAAACAGTCTCTTGCTGACATACAGTATGTCACAACCCCAAGCATTGTAGTGTCTCATTTCTCCTGCCACTACAGGGCAGTGTAGGAAGACTACATTTGGGCGTACAGACGACCTCTTCAATTGGCTTGCCCAAAATGCAGATGAGTCAGGTCAGTATTTGACTGCTCTCCATCCGTCTGACTTCATTCTTTCACACTGATCCACTGTCTTTCCTCAAGTGTCCCAGCTGTGATCGTTGCCCTCTGTCATTTGCAGGTAAGAGCTGATGGCTTCCCTCAGCCCCTCGCTCACCAGAGAGTTGTCCGACTCTGTTCTCTTCCTCCTGAAGATCACCGACCTGAGAGGAGACAGAATGAATAAGGTGATTATAGTGTTGGTGATTTAAAAAAAAAAAAAAAAAAAAAAAAGTGCCTCAATTTCACTGTTCCCACAAAGTCCCAAAGATTGGTGACATTTCTGTTTTAACTGCTGTGTAAACATGGACAGAATTTGCTCTGACAATTAGTGAATGCCATTTAGTGCAGGATGAGTCATCAAATGTATGAAACCGTTTTACAGGAAGAGAAAATACATGGATTTTGATGTAAAAATACTCAAATAGTTTTTTTTTGACATATATATTTGGCATATGATGAGATAAATGAACAATTAACATGGGGACACAGTGTTAAAACTGGGGGAAAAAAATATTTTTCATTTCACAAGGCCTTTAAATAACTACCATCTATTGTAGGCTACATTTTTCAAACTTTATTTATCTGAGGTAGGTTCGCTGCTTGCTACTCACACAGCTACAGATTCTCAAACTTGGCAGATACCCAGTGCAACTACAGTCTAATCTGTTGGCATATCTGTTGGTGTTGTGTACACACCCTTCACAATCAGTTTACTCAACACTGAAACAAATTATTGTAGAGTTGAATCAACATCTTTGTGACACAGTGTCAACAAAAACTGAAAATGGTAAGCTTCACTAAGATAGGATTTATTAATTATTTTAACCATGACGCCATGAGGGGCTCATGCAGTAGGCTACTCTACACCAAGTAACAGAGTGACATCTTGTGGCAGCCATTAGTAGTAGCAAGGCTAGAGAGAGTCTGCCACACCTGCTTATGTCCTTCCAGTTGATAGTAGGCCTCCTGATGGCTGTGGGCACAGGCCTGGCCTCTCTTGCATTATCTAAACCGTCGATGAAGCAAGGCGTTGTCAGCCGACCGGACAATCCATCTGCAAACTCTGGAAAAGGAGGAAACATTTTAATATAACTAACTCTTATAGGGTTTGAGGGTAAAGGTGAGAAAACAGCTTTATATCCTCAGTACAAACCTGAATAGTGTTCCACCAGGTGATGCAGGGAGGGGAAGGTGATTCCTGGAGATATGTAGACCCAGCCATTTTGGAGGTGAGAGATGCGGTAGTGCTTCACACAGTCTTGGTACAAGGAGTTATTTTTCCTCAGGACAGACAGCGAGTAACAATCTAAAGACAGAAACAGCACACAGATGCAGCATTTAAACTTAATGGCATTTAGTCATTAACCCACGCAAGTCATTTTTCTAAGGCAAATTAAACCATCTCCATAAATAAACCTAATTAAAATGACCTGTCACTCTCACAAGAAAATTCTTGAAGAAGTGGAAAGTGCTTTAGAAACCATGAAAATTATGTAGCTCCATTAACACCCACTCCACATAATAGTTTAAGGCTCATTTCATTTTTGTATTAAAGAAAGAAAGAAAGAAAGAAAGAAAGAAAGAGAGAAAAGAAAGAAATACAGAAAGAAATACAGAAAGAAACCTCTATTCTAACCTCTGTTTGTCTCTGACTCTCGGATCAAGAAGGATCCACTCTGGTTATTGGGCTGCATGAGCAGCTCCACTGCTTTGTACCTGCTGATGCCTGTGAAAAGCCACCTGAACAGAGAGAAGAGGACACAGGAGACATTTAGACGTATGGGACAATAAGACAATGTGACAAAAAAATATTTTCATGTTGTTTTTAGTTTTGGAAAATCCACTGTAACAATTTCAGAGTACATTCCCCACTGGAGGAGGACTGAAACTGCAGGAGGCAGAGGCTGATGTCATGTCACTGAAGAGAACAGATGTCTTGTTCCAACATATGTCTCCACTGAGGTAAAGTTCACAGGGACAGAAACTACTCCCACCTGTCAGGGAACCCCCCGCCATTCTATTCACACATGCATAACTCTTCTGGTTTCAAACACAAACACACACACACACACACACACACACACACACACACACACACACACACACACACACACACACACACACACACACACACAGAGTACTGTGACAGAGATCTTAACATGTGTCTTCGTGACTGTAACTTACCTGTGTGTCACCTTGGCGGTGTAGCTGGTGGGAATGTAGCTCTCATGTCCTGTGGTTGTGGATCTCACCATCAGAAAATCCCCATCGCTATTGGGAAAAATAGTCAATCATGAGTAATTGTGTCTGTCTAGGTGAAAACAAGGGTGAAGGTGAAACATTAGGAGCTGCATCACATACTCTGATACGATGGTGAGCCTTTCCCCAATGTGCATGGTCACTTCTCTGTGACCAAAGGATGGGTAGTTATAGAGGGATACAATAATGCTTTCCATTGTGGCTGCAGAGGAAAAGAAGCAGATGAATATTATAAACCAAATTTGTTTTTGTTTTTTTTACATTTTTCTTATTTTTATTTTGTGTCTTGAGGATTGAACCTACCTGTTGATGCATGTTCAGGTGGATTTTCAAGGATTGCTAGGTTTGATTGACATCTGATGGGGCAGGTTCCCATGTTCTTTGGCTTCTTGCAGACTTGAAATGGCTATTGTGATAGAAAAAAAGAGAGACACAAAAAAGGTGAAATAGGGACCAATGGAAGAAAATGTTATGTCTTCAAAGGCCCTCATCGTCACTTATTCATTATTTGATTATTCCCCCAGTTCTTTCATTATGACTGCCATCAGCAAAACAACTCACAAGTGCTGCACACTATTTGTTACCTGGCAGCAAAACCTAGATGATGCAGGAAGGCGGCTAACCACAACAAGAGGAACGGATATCAAGTGAATTTCCATGCAACCTGTTTGTGAGGAATGAAGTCTATACTCAAACTACATGTGAAAGCTGTATTAAAAATAATGGAAAAATGAGATTTAATTCTCATGATGCACACGACTTTTTCATATAGGCAAGTTAATAAGATATTTTGAATAATGTAAAACACACTTTAAACAAAGGCTGATTTCTCCATTTATCTATTATCATTTCGATTCAAAAGATATTTCATGTTTTTATTTCATGTAATAAAAGTAATTAGGCAGTAAGATTGCTTATGGAGGTAAAAGTCATTATCAAGCAAAATTATTTTTGCTATTAAGGGTTATTAAGCAAAATATTTTCATCAGAGCAGGTAACATACTCACCTCCTTCAGTTTCTGTATCAAAAATGTTTGCACAGAAATTATATTCTCCAAAAATAAAGGGCTAGATCCTTCTCGGAGCAACTAGTAAACTACAAGTCGTCTTGATGACAAATGATCATCTGCCTGAGGAGATGAGGCTTCCTGTATGTGTGTCTTTATGTATTTCACACAACTGCAGCTTCCTGTGACGCTAAAGACCATGACATCCTGACTCAGAACAGCTCATGCTGTTCTCTCTGATGCAGGCTGTTTTCATGCAGGGTTAAATGTGCATCACTTGTTTATGGAATTAACTGTATATCTGCGTAAGCCGAATTTACATACACATGTACATGTACCTTGTGGCGCAATGTGGTGGGTTGAAGTGGTGATATTATGTCACAATGACAATGTTTGTGTAGAAATGCTTACACTAGACAAGGCTACATTTATCTGCCTATAGATTTTTCAGCAGAACCATGATGCCTCTGACCACATTTTCCCCATCAGTCTGGCACACTGCTTTCAGTCTTTCTCGGTCGTGTTAATGTTTTGCCATTGATGTTAAAATCAGATAAAAGTCAAAACTCTGCAGAAGCATGATGAAGCCTCTCCTGACAGCCTACTCCTGCTTGATTTATCATTAGTCACAAGTTCATCCATCATGCTGGCACTGCAGAGTCAAGCTATCAGAGCAGCAGTGGAGCAATATGAGAAGCAACAGTGGGGCTTTGTACACAAAAATCATTTGGGTGTGAAAAAGTCAAGGAAAATAAATAATTTATGTACATCAGGCACGGCAGGAATTATACAATTTCTGGTTTCTGTCGTTGCAGGCAGCGACGTTCATGCTCACATATACTAATAAGACTTTGATACGGCCACAGCAATGTCATTATCTCCTCTGATTCTCATCTTTAAAAAGACGTACTGTTGGTTTCTTTAGAAGCAATTCAGAAACAATTCTGCTTAGGGTGGAAACTAACGGATCAGATTTGTGCTGAACCACTGAAAAGGGCCTGTAAGCATGGGTGGAAAGAACATATGAAGAATTCATTTTTCCATATCTTTCTCAAATATTGCAAATTTCCGATTTACATCTGTATTATCCACCTCCATGTTAAATCTTTTATGGTAAAATGTTTTGTTTGTATTGCAATGAAATACAAGATTATTATCAATTCTTTCTATTTTTAGTGCACAGGGGTTGGACACAAAACCTTATATATTGCAATCTGATACAGTAAAGCAGTAAAGCTGTGATTGTGTCCATCTCTTCATGTAAAATATTTTGAGTTCATTTATCTTTATTAGTAGAGGAAAGTTGTATTGAAGTTGATAGAAGCCTCATGACATGAAAATCAGATTAACATTTAGTGTTTTTCCCCCATGACATTTTTTACATCTTCTCAATTCTAAATCAGTCTCTTCATCTCATTTGTGTAGCAGCTGACCATTGTTGTTCTTTCATTGTGCCAAATATAGACCGTCTGATCTGTGACAACAGTTATCACTTTGAGGAAATAGCAAGTGTGGTTGGAAACTAACTCGCCACACTCACCTCACTTTTCCACCAATAGAAGAGGAAAAGTACAAGCACTTGCTTCTCTGAGATGTACAGTACTTTCTCATTTTCTCATTCAAATAAATTCCCTGCACCTGCTTTTATGTGCACTTATTAGCCAGAATTAAAGGCATTACTGATAAACAAACTCACCAGACACCTTCTCATGTTGTAGCTTTATTCAGTAGTAATATAAATGAGTTGAATCAGCAGACAGTGAGAAGCACCACTGGGCCCCTCAGTGAAGGGACTCACACTTTTCACATCAGAACCCACTTGTTAAAGGTTGTTAAAACATCACTGAATAATCTGTTCGAGTGAACAAAAACATCAACACAAAGCAGAAAGAGAAAAGGAGACGATGAGTTCAGTTACAAAAAGAATCCAAGATAAATGAATGAATGAATGACTGTGAAGTGACAGAGTCGACTCACTGGTACACTTGTTCTTAACACTGAATGTTCTTCCATGTTTAAATGCAGTTCTCACCACTGCTTTGATTTAGTTTTACTTACAGAGTGCTACAGTAAGCAATGGTTCTTCCATGTAACTTCCACATCACTTTTTCTGGAATCATTCTAAAAATAGACTGCCATCCTATTTCTGCAGCTACAGTACGTATAGTGATCCCTCTACGTATATTTGTGACTAATTTGTATTGCAGCAGTGTTTGAGAATAAAAACAAATATACAATGACTCACAATCAATATAGCCCACATTTTGACAACAGAGAAGACCAGTTCAAATAGTAAAAGTGTTGTACTGTGCAATTAAATGAAAAAAAAAATCTATAGGTTCCTTTGAACACATGGAGGATTTCTACAGTGTGTGTGAAGACATATAAACAAATACAATGTGAAAAAAAAAATAAATACAAGAGGGTGAGGTTGGACAGCTGAGTCAAAGATACAGTTTGACCATTTGAATATACAACACATCTGAATGTAGTTATGGTTTCTTGTAGGAATGTGACTTTGATGGTGTATTCAATATAATATTTAATAATATGCATCTGTTAATATATTTATTACATCCGCTTTTCTAATCACATAGTTCATTACAGATCCTCCTGGCTTTGAATTGCTTAGGAGTGGGATGAGAGAGAGAGAGGGATAGAGAGAGACAGAAAGATAGGAGGGAGAGGGCACATAAGTTACTATGGGAGGGTGCAGGGGGTGGGATGGGGTTTAGCAGGAGACCTCCATGGTCTGGGGTCTGGCCTGGTTGTCCAGCCCCCCAGTGGCGCTGCCCTCCAGCAGGCTGTTGAGGTTGTTGCGACTGCGACTGCTGTCCATGGAGGTGATGCTAGAGGAGGAGGTGGTGCGCGAGCGAGCCAGACGAGTCATTCCCGCTGACGGCACTGGAACAGAGAAAACATGCATTAATATTCCACTCACACAGCACGCAGACTCAGAGCAGTGTGGGATCACTTAGGTAGTCGGATACAACAACAACGAAGGTGCTTACCATGCAAACAATTCTCACATATGGAGGCTAATCAAATAAAGGAAATGTGTAACAAAAACTATTGCATGTGTGTTCACTGTAGAAAAAAATGAAAGCAGTACAAAAGCAGAATACAGCACTTGCAATCCAACTTAACTGATGGGAAGCAACACGAGTAGGTCATGCAAGAACAGAGGACACTGAGGACAGATTCCATGCTAACAGGAGGAACTAAACTCCTGCAGGAAGATGAACGTGTCAAAGTATGCAAAACAATCTCCCTGTGTATAACCACTGAACTGCTGCTGGATACCAATATGAAACAGTGCTCTCTGGAGAATTTCTGCATACATTGACATTCATCCACCGTGTTACGAGGCCATTGGGTTCATAGCATTCTAGTCTGGCAGTTGCTCAAGAACCCGATACCTGATTCGTTGCTCAGGTGACTGAGGAGAACGTAGGGAACTGTAAGCAATGATTCAAGAAGGAAAGAAAGAGGGAGAAAGGGAGAAATGTTGAGAAGGTAGCTCTTATGTTGCTTTATCCCACCTCAGTTTATTTCTGATCACTCTCACAGCTTGGCGGTCGTGGAGGACAATTAACTGTCTGCTCGCAACAACAGGTAAGAAAATCAGCTTTATTTTTTGTTCTCTTTGGCCGTTCCCCTGTCACATTTCACACTGTGGCAACGTGTTAATGAGGGAAAAACAGCTTTTAGAAACATGCTGAGGTGTTGAGATTTATTTTCCACACTTTCTCTGTGCAACACACTCTTTTTAATCTGTTCTAATCCTGCAGTGGCATTTACTCAACGGGGGGGGGGGGGCTCGGGGGCCTTTAAAGCAATACTGAAGCACTGACATACTAGCTACAACCGAGAGTGCCTCCCATGGTGAAGGGTTTGGGAACAGGAGTGAGCAAACGAGAATTAGCATTACAGAAACACACACAGGCGTCATCTGTGTGGCCAGAGCAAGCAAACCTACATTCATGACTTCATCCATCCATGGATCAGAGTCTGTGTGGTGCACTGCAAGTCATTATGGTCTGACAGAAATGTGTTTGTTGTTGTTGGCAGATGAATGACTGTAAAAAAACCCAAAGGCCTGTTTAAGTATGCACTTTGAGTCTCTGCATCATTAAACAGTTCTGAATAGAAAAGAAAAGCACACCAGGCAAAAAAAACAGAGTATTCTTTTAGGCCCACTCTGAACTGAACAGGAAATAAATTGCTGTTCAGTGCATCTGGAGTGCTGCTGTCATTTCAGTCATGCTAGAAGCACAAACACCTCACCTACTGAGGGGTGTGGGTGCCACACACTGCAAAGAGCAGAGAGGAAATTGTGTTAGCATCAACCTTTGCACAGGCTGCCTCTCCGTGACCAGGCTGACAAAAACAGTGTCTTTTCATGCACTGTTGGCCACAGTCCAAATCCCATCAGCAGGGCTGTTCAGCAGCAGCTCTTAGAAGACCGAGGTGAAAACAGTTCTCAGTTAAATAACACTTGTCGCTGCACTCGTCAACAGGAAATTCAATAAGACAAACCTTGACCACAAATACGTCAGCTCAGAGAGATATCAGTCTGTAAACAAGTTTTGGACATTGACCATTTGATACATATAGTTTGAACCAGCTTCATGATATATTTAGATGTTTAGATGTATTAAGAAGTTTTTACTCTCTGAACATACGAAGTGAATGACGTGAGCATGTTTACTTACTGTAGCCCATCCCCTGAACAAAGTACTTGAAGGCCTCAGCAAGTTTCCCTGGCTGTGAAAAGATAAAGGATAAAAATTAGAGGATAATTTCGACAAGAAAACTGCTAGATGAAAAACTCCTTGATGACATGAATCTGTGTCTAAAAAAGTAAATACACACCTGCACAACCTGGGGCAGGCCTCCACAATCAGCCATCTGAAAGAGCATTATCAGTCTCATTAATTAATCATTTGTACAACCACAAAATGAATGACATTAATTTTATAAAAGTCATTATAAAAACCTTGACCTTTAGCAGTGTGGTCTTGGTCGGATTTAACCTGGAATTGCACTCCACCTTAAACATCAATGAGAGGTTACTATTGAGCTCAAAAAAGAGAAAGAACAGCAACTGCTTTGGTGCTGTAACAAATTCTTTGTGAAGCCT